CTAAAGGAAATATACGTACATGAAAACATTATTTGTTATTTTTCCGCTCGCTTTTTATTAAATTTGTCAATTTAGAACGTCGTTCGTTACTTTTTTTACAGAACAACAACAACAACAATAAATCGGACAGGAGGCTCATCTGATGTAAAGTGATAAAACAAGGACACTCTCAATGCCAGAAGGCTCGCGAGTGCGTTGCCTACCTTTTAAGAATTAGTACGCTCTTTTTTTTAAGCACCCTAAGTCGAATTAGCGGTGCGCGGCAAAAACATTTAATTTAATTTTATACAACATTAGAATTCCGAAATATATTTTTTACTAAGTAATTCAATTTATTTGCGGTTCATTACCGGAGTAGCAATCCTTAGTGGATAGTGACGGAGATTCAATCTTCTACGTATTCTCTCTCTTTCGTACATAACATGAAAGCCACTGTCATTATAAAAAGCCCATGGATGTGCAGATGCACCATGGTAGGGATGAATGTAAACATCTTCTAATCCTAAACAAGTAAAGATCAGAAAACTGGAGTCTAATCTCTTTATTAAGGCCGATTTACATTATCTTAGTGTTTAGGAGAGTATTTTAGTACAAGTTGAAAGGCAAGTTCTTTAGTGCTTTAGTGCGTTGCGAGGGAACGTTTACATTTCTTCCAGTAGAGTATCATTACAGCGCCACAATGAACGCGCAACGACGTCGGCAAATACGCTCTATTCTACGCAAAATACTAACAGTAGTTATGGAACAAATAGAAGACGAGATTTTATTTGAAATAAATAAATTAAATAAAAATAATAAATAAAATAGCTTCTTTTAAGGCACTGGTAGTAAATGTAAATTTACGATTAATTTAACTTGACGATTCAAAAGTGTACTTGGTTACCTACTTGAATAAAGATATTTTGAGTTTGAGTGTATGCCGAATGCCTAGCCTGTTTGTTTTTGTATAAATTGTTTTTAACGTTCCACAAACATTTGTGAACAACATATTCAGACACAAATTTGATAGTTGTGTCCGACCATTTAGCCATCTTTAAAAATCAAAAAACACGCACGCGTTTCACGGCACTTGTGCACTCTCCTAAAGATTTTACTAAATTACGTGTTTACTGTTTACACAACGAGGGAAGATCTCGGGGGTTGCGCGGGTGCGGGAGGGGTATCACTTGAAACAAAAATAAAAAGCGATTCTATTTTGATTCAACTTGAAAGTCAAGTAGAACCGTACTAAAGCAAGTTTACATGTTTCAACTAAAGTACTATCCTAAAGCACTCTGCTAAACGCTAAGATAATGTAAATCGGCCCTTAGAGTTAGCTAAAGTTAGATATTACTCTTTCATACAAAAAGCATACAAATTATAGGTTTTTATAGAAACCATTATACTGACTATTAACCATTAATACTAAATCAGTTAAATATTTTTCTGTCACGTGTATTAATTAACAAAGTGAACTGAGATAGGGACAAAACATTCAAAGTCGAGTCTTATGGTACGCTTGTAAGGAGGTAATATACTAACCTGAGTCTGTTCCGTATTGCCCCGGTTTTATGAGTATAATATCCGCATCATACCGCACTTTATTGAGAGCATCAGGGATTCGATCAGCGAGAATTATCCATTTGTACCAATTCGAAAAGTATTTCGGAGCTACCTGTTTATTTATTCCATTTTTAAAACAAATTAATCGAAAGAGATTTAACATTGTATACTAATGATAATACTTGTGGTGACTGGTCGGACTTGAATTTATGTATGCGGTGAAGTTAGTAATTACGACTATGTATTTGCTTGTTGTTCCCACGAGAATGTAAGTGCGTGCTCCTATTTCACCACGCCTACTGCTGATAGAGGACAAATCTTTGTTTTTTTTTAATATTAATTACTTAAGATGTCATGTGGAACATGGTGTAATGGTTGCAGCTCCTTACAAACAATAAACGTTGCATAAAACAAAAGAGTGGCAGAGAGTTTATTGCCAGTTCTTCTAGTCCGTTCTACGTCCTTGATTTGAGAACTGGCAGTAAATGTAAAATTAGAAGCATTTAGCATTTAATATGTATTTCTTTATTTACGTTCATATGTGTACATTGTGTTACCTAGAAGAATTTGAATTTGATACAAATTGAGTTCGATTACGTAGACTTTGCAATTAGACGTAGTTAATTTTAGTTTTAAACATGTACCCGATGTTTCGCAGCACAATTCCAAAGACAAAAAACTATTCATAAAAATTAAACCAATTGCACCGATTTAACTAAAGCATTCTTCTCTTTACGTCGCAGCGTAAATTTCACATAAAGTGACAAATAAGTACTTTAGATTTTAATTAGCCTGATTTAATACGTACTACACCAGTCAATCTCTCCATTAGAGATCTCTACATGTATAATGGATCGAACCAACAACCTCAGGGATGAGAACCACTAGGCCAACACTGCTCAGTATTTGCGAAGTTCGTAAATGTTGCTTTTGGGTGAAGGGTGAGTTCATGTCAGTTCAAGAATATCTAAACATTTACTGGCCTGATTTAATTCATCATAATTGTGTGGTATATATAACACTCCTTGTAAACGATGGTGATGGATTTGTTGAAATATGTCAGCATTACAGGTAACTGTAGCCGGAAGGTTGAAGTCTTGAAAATTTCGAATTATTTTGGCTGCATCTGAAAATTACCTCATTACTAAATGAGTTTCATTTAATAGTGAAATCTGGGCAATATAAGAACATAATTTTTTAAAAGGTTTTTTTAGCCTTGATATATTTCCTGAGGCGCTTATATAAACTAGGTACACATTTCAACTTATTCTTAATAAACTGTACCTAATCTTAATTATGTCTAGTTATCCTGTGTTGGTAAATATGAGAATGTAAGTGCGTGCTCCTATTTCACCATGCCTACTGCTGATAGAGGACAAATCTTTGTTTTTTTTTATTATTAACTAACTAATAATTAATTAAGATGTCATGTGGAATATGGTGTATTGGTTGAAGCTCCTTACAAACGTTGTGTAAAAGAAAAAACTTGGCGATTAAAAACAATGGCGGAGAGTTTATTACGAGTCCATCCCTTCTGTTCTACGCCCTTGATGTGAGAGCTGGCAGTAAATGTAAAATTAGAAGTGTTTAGCATTTAATATGTATTTCTTTTTGACGATTATAAGTGTACATTGTGTGACCTAAATTAATAAATGATTTTGATTTGATTTAATATCTTTTTTCAGTTAATATGTATAAGGAATTCTCTCCGATACAGGCCTCCTTCGAGGTACCATTATAATGTTTAATAAAGAATTAGATAGTTAATTCAATCGCTTGTAACTATTTATTTCTTATTCATCATCATCATCAATGGTAATACAGCCTCTTGTCAGCCTTAGCCTCCTCAAGTTCACTTCGCCATCGCAATCTATTCAGCGCCTTAGTTCATATAAAAAATTATAAAAATAACATATTAAAATTACTAAAATTCAACACAAAAATATACAGTATTTACAATATTAATAATAAAATGTTAAAGAGAAAATTAAAACAAATTATAATAAGTACAAGTTCGGTCCCTGTGGCATTGAATCTCTAATGCTGGCTGCATTTCCTCGCTGCATTGCCGATTCTTATTCGTTGAGCAAGGAAAGCGCCAGCTTAAATCTTTAATGGCGCCTGTGCACTTGAACGGCACGGCCCAAGAGTCTCTGCTCCAAAGGGAACAGAATCAAAGTTCGAGGAAAGACTCTTTATATTAAAGCCGTTCTTTTTTTTCCGTTTTAAAATTACACAGTATGATAATATGAGAAACTATTGACTCACCGAATTTATTGGAACACGTAAAAATAATAATGCTACCTACAATTTTATACCTGAATGCTAACGATATAGCTTCGTAAAACATTATTATTTTTCTGCTTTAAAATGTCTTAGACAACATTTATATTGGAGTTTATGTCATAGATAATTTTCATATTTCGGTATTCATTTGTTTGTAGCCTATAATTTGCATCGCTGAAAATAAAATTATATGCTTGGGGAAATCGTTGGGTGTTTTGCCAATGTATGCAAAATTAATTTTTTAAACTTAGATTTAAGGCTTTCAATACATGTTTTAAAATCAAGTTACATGTATGGCATGGGGCAGACACGTTTCTGAGTCTGTTTTGTTGATAATTTTAGACAACCCACGTCGTTTTGGGACTAAGACATACCAATTTCCTTAAAATGTTTAACTTTACCGTATGAGCAAATGTTACATATAATTACATTTTTTTAATAATACATTAGTTTTTATTGCGCCAGTAATCGAACCAGAAGTAATTTCGTTACTACGTAGGTGGCATAGTGGTATGTAAAGTTATGATAGTAATAATATATGGAGGTAATGTGATAATTGAAAGAAGTTTTTATTCATGATAACTTTATTAAAATAATCTTGATAATATATACAGTAAATATATGTTATCAAATAAATACAAAATCAGACTAGATTGTTTTATAGTTCTATAGCTGGTTTTAGTCAAATAAATACAATATATGTATACAGAATATGTACTTATTGTAATTTCATGACATGAGGTTCAATTTGATAAATTCTACCCTTTACCCATTATTAAGTGTCATTAACAAACTATTTACCCTAATATTGGCACCCACATGACGATTTAATTGGTTTTGCTTCTAAAGATACAGGTACCGGTGGTGGCACCATATATGCCGTCATTGGAATGGATGGGGGTGCACAGGAGCATGTGGGGGCAGGACAAGAACATGGCGGTGGAGGTGGAGCTAAAGAAATTATTATTGGTGATTGCGGTTGACATGGTGCAGGGGCTGGTGGAGCGGAACAGGGTGGTGGTTGAAACATTATCGGTGAAGGTGGAGCACAGGGGGCTTGAAGCATTATAGGGCTCGGTGGAGCACAGGGGGCTGGAATCATTATAGGGCTCGGTGGAGCACAGGGGGCTGGAATCATTATAGGACTCGGTGGAGCACAGGGGGCTGGAAACATGATAGGGCTCGGTGGAGCACAGGGGGATGAAAGCATGATAGGGCTTGGAGGGGCACACGGAGTTGGAAGCATTATAGGACTTGGTGGGGCACACGGAGCTGGAAGAAGAATTGGGGCAGGTGGAGGACAAGGTGGAGGATTACACGGAGCTGGAAGAACTATAGGAGCTGCCGGTGGAGGTGAACAGGGGGCAGAAAGAAAAACAGAGGGAGATGGGGCGCAAGGGGCAGGAGGGGGTGATGAACATGGGGTAGGAAGAATGATTGGGGCAGGTTGGGCACAGGGGCTGGAAGCTGGAGATATAATGACAGGAGCTGGTGATGGACAAACTGGGGGTGGAGCACATGGATTTGAAGGCATCAGGACCAGTGTGGGCGGTGGCGCCGGCTCATCGAGGCATTTGGAGCATGGTTTCTTTTCTGTAACAAAATAAACATACCATAAATTATATACGAACAAATATAAAACAATTTTTGAAGTGGAACTTCTTTATCGAGGTTGGAAAAAAATTTAGTGTAACATTTTTCGGTTACGCGTCACATTTTTCGGTTACGCGCCATGTTGCTTTTTGAAGTCAAACTTCATTATCGGCGTTGGAATGAAACTTCTTTATCGACGTATGGGAGTAATTTTGTAGCAAATCGTCACGTTTTTCAATGATAGTAATAATTCTATTACAATTAATGAAATTCTATAATACTCTTCGTAGTAATAAGGTAAAATGAAATATTTGTATTCATGTCTATGATAATAAAAGCCTTTTGTTAAACTTTATCTAATTTAACGAATTTCTGTAAAGTTGCATATAGTAGATCATTTTTCGAAAAATAAGATCATAAAGAAGTTTCACTTGTTACGTGTGTACACCATTTTTTAAATGGAATTTACTATTAAGTTTGTTATGGAAGAGCTGGGAACCCTGACACAGATATTTTTACTTAAAAGGATTCCTAAATCTTTATACATTATAATGAATTGTTTATACATTTTTATGTTTAATGTTTCAAATATATTGTACTTGTTAATTGTTTTATTAATGGTGTCAAAAGTACTTACCAATCTTGGATGTCAGTAAAGGTTTTAGCAACCTGAAAATAATGACAATCGTTCGAATAAAAATGGAAAAAATATTTTTTTTAATAACAGGCCCAGGCCTTGTTAACTCCTGTTACCTCAATACTTGACGTATTTCTTATATAATTAAGCCGGGACCAACATATTCTTAGAAGAAATTATTGCTACTAAAAATAGTTGAATGTTGAAAATAGATTGAAAAACGACGAAGTAATGTTTCAGTTTAGTTCTGTAGTTGATCGGTTTAAACAAAAAGCATTGTTAAGTGCCTATCTGATACATAAGGTCATATATTTTAATTTTATGTAACATATATGTTCACCATTATTGTCATGTATTTTAGAATAGATAGCTGGTAAACTTTAATAAATAAATAAACGTAAAGAGGACACGACAATTAGTTATTTAAGACAAACACAGTGAATATCTAAAGAAAGCGAATACTTACGAAGCCAGCACTGATTTTTCACATTGTTTTATTTCTTTGAGCGCTTCCAACTGCAAAATAATAATAACATTGGCTATAAAGTTCTGCTGAATTTTATATTTAATTCCTTAAGTTATAATACACATTGTAAATTTGAAATTACCAAACATATTCCTTTATCGTCACAAGCCGTCGAATAACTGACGAGAATTAACAAAGTAAGGGAGGACCAAAAAAGTCGTCCCCTCATTTTCGTACTTTCCAAAACAGAATATTATTAATTATGAATAAAAAAAGGATTTTTGTTCTATTTAAAAGAAAGTGTGTTATGCATAACTACGTGATTGCATACGTGTAGCAAGCCTTACGATAAGATAGTTTTGAAATTTTTAATTTTATCGCAATTTATCAGTGAATTGGGAAATTTTCTGTACTTTTCTAAAATTTTCGTTTCAATGTCTTGTATTGTTCGAGTGACTGCTTTATGATGTTGTTTAATTGTTCTTTGTTTTGATCTCGGTCAAGATAAAACAATCAGATACATAAGGTCATTGATATTACATGAAGATCACATTGAATTCTTAATATGACGCAGTATAAACATATTCTGATGAGCACGGCATTATGGATTTTCATAGTGGTAACTATTATATTTTTTGTAATAAGTTCAAGTTAAAATGTTAAGAATTTGTGTGTGACTATTCTAGATGTGAAAATTCTGGTACCGGAAGAACGGCGGAATATAAATTTTTTTTTTTTTCAGATGGAGGTATCGTGCGGAATAAACCTGGGTTTGATATCTGGTGATCGAAGAAGACTAACCAGTCCATTTCTGATTACAAAAACATCACGTCACTCTCCTATCAAAATCAACATCAATTCTAAGTCACTGACACCAATTCTCTCAAAATCATTGCTTTCAAAAAACTTGAAACCAAAGTTAAATATTCCCAAAATTCCCTTCATGCCCATATTCCCAATACTCCCACCTGTGATACCGAAATTACCAATTTTACCCCCTCTATTACCAATTATACCTCCATTACCCATACTACCTCTTCCCATTATACCGCTTTTACCTAAAACCCTTAAAGCTCCGAAGTTATTAAGAAAAACGGCACTTCAAAGGGATTTGGAGAGAAAAATTAAAACTGCAATGAAACCACCTCCAAAAATAAGTAAAAATATTGCAAAATTTTTACTGAATTTGAAGAAAAAAGGATCTATTACAACAGCTGAATATTTGAGGTTCAAAAAACTTTTAATTTAAATGTAATATTGTTAAGCGTATTTAGAGTATTATTTATTAAATGTAAAAAAAACACGCTAATTTACATATATTTATTTAAGACCTTATTGTATAAACTTTATTCTAAATAAATTATAATAATTAATATAAAATGGTTATAAATAACAATTAAAATATTTTGTGACGATTTCGCGCTTTAATGTGATATATTAATTTAGTTTAAATTATTAATTAATTGTATTTTTGTGATAAATTAAGGCGGTAGTAATTTTTAGGCAAGTTTCGCTTTTTTGGCCTTCTCCAAAAGTCCGTTTAGAGATCGCACAACTGAATCCTTGATTTTTCCCATGTAAGACATGATGGACCAGCCAAAAGGCCTATCTTCGGCCTTACAAGTAAAACACGACTCTCTTTGTCGTGGATGTAACAGATTTTTCGTTGTTAGAACGCTGCCCTGAAAAAAAAATACAAAAGTAGTAGTCATTTCATAAGAAAAAAAAAAAATTAAAATTTCTTCTAATTTATAATTAGTTCACCTTTAGAACGATGCAAGCTCGGTTTAAATTTTTAAAATTAGTTATCATAAAACGCAAAACAATTTTATAAAGAACCTAGCTGACCCGGCAAACGTTCGTTTTTCCATGTATATTATTTCTAGGAAACATTTTTTTAGTTCAATAAAAATAATCTACTATTATAAAAAAATAGGAGTTGATCGTAGAGGGGTGAAAATTAGGGGTTGTATGTATTTTTGTATGTTGTATCATAAAAAATAAAAACAAAAAACTATTAGTAAAAAATAAAAATAAAATTTGGGGTGGACAACCCTTATCACTTAGGGGTCTGAAAGATAGATAGACTCTCAGACTTACTGAATATGCATTAAAAATTTCATAAGAATCGGTTGATCCGTTACGGAAGAGTATGGGAACGAACATTGTGACACGAGAATTTTTTATATTAGATTAGAATGAATGATTTTTTAAACCGCTTGGTTGTGCTCATATCTAAGGTCTATTATTAGAAACTAATACAAAAAACTCCTTCAGTATTTCCGCCAAACATCGAAGATTGTAACAATTCTTTTTCAATAGACAAATATGCAGTTAGCTTGCCTTCCAAACTTTTAGACGCATCAACTGAACTACGAAATAATAAAACGACCAAATAAAAGTAGTCAAGATCTTTAAAATAGTAGAAGCTAGTTCTTTTGTAGCTTTTAATACCAATCGAATAATAAGAAGAATAAAAACACAAACCTTCGCACAAGTCACAACCAGGAGAACGATCGTCAATAATTTTAACAAATTCATTATGATAATACGATCTCGCTATCAAGTATAAAACTAAGCTTCCCGCGTACATACTACTAACTAACCAATTCATGTTTAATCTGTCACGTATATTACTGATTTTAAATGATGCTGACTTGATATTTTGGTACGTGATTCAATTCTGTAGTTAGTAAAAATGTGTCGAACGCGGCTATAGCATGTCTCAATACGTGTTGATTGTGGCTTACTTATTGGTTAGTAATTATGATTCTGGGAAATTTTGTTCAACGTGTTAGTGCTATTTGTGACTGATGTGCTAATTAGTGAGATAGAAATATTTCACTAGAACTTCATACTATATGGTCCTAATCATAGAAAATTGTGAAACTGAAATTTGCTGCTAATTTCTATAGGGGCATATCAACTTTGTATCGAGGCACATTTCAGAGAAAGTTATCGATTTTAGTGTTGCCAAATTGCAATAAATTTCAATATGTTGTGCCAGTTTATGTTTTTTTACTTAATATATATGCGTCGTATGTGTTTGTTTACATTATATATAAAATATACTCGTAAAGTAACAACATATATTTATTATGAAATAAAGTTAAAAATAATAACTTAATTTAATTTTTCACAAAATTACCAATATCAACAATAAACAATGCATATTTTTACAGGTGAGGCTGGCGACGTGCGCTCCTTCACCACTTCAAATGAAAATTGAATGTGGCTCTGATGAGGTTTGTTATCTATATTATTTCAAAAATTTCAAAATATTTCTAAGTCGCTTCATTTTACACTAACTTAATACACACTTTTCATTGTTCACAGAATCGTTCTTCAGCAAAATCTAAGTCAGGCGAGTTATCAAATGGTAACACAGACCTTGACATGGATTCCTTCTGCAACTTAATTCAGAAAGCAATACCTAAGGCAATAGAAGACGGCAAATTTATCATAGAACCAAATAATGATAACGATCTCACTGTCGACAGTAATAATATAATCAGTTCAGCAGTAAGCCCACCAAGTGGCTTCATTCCCAGATTTTCAAAACCGAAAGTATCAAAGCTTAAAATTCCGAGACTAAATTCTCCAAGGTTAAAACCACTGGAAATAGGCAAGGCCCCGAAAGTAGGAGCCCCAATGAAACTCTCAATGCTAAGAAAAGTTTTGGATGAAGAAACTAGTGCAGAAAGAATGGAACGATTTAAAAATGGTGTTCAGAAAATGTTGCATGTTGTTAAAGTGTTAGGACAAATTGACCAGTATTTATCGGAACGAACTAGAATTGTTATTGATAAACTATCTAAAACATTTATGGAATGATTCTGTGATTTAGTTATGTAAATAATAAAGTAGTGTTATATCCTAATTGATATTTTTATTCAGAACTGCAATTATACCATCTTATGTATACTTTAGTAACACGACTAAATAATATAAAAAAAATAAAATAGCCTTTATTCGAGTATTACATAATTAGGATAACATTAAGTCCATCTCATTAGATTTAACGTACACGACCTCCGACAGAGTGAAGGCCTCATCCAAATTCTTCCACTTGTCTCGCCACCTTTTTGCAATCCTTCCAATGTAACTATGATATATAATCTATACTCCAAAACCCTTTAACACCACCCTTTTCTCAGAAATTCTTCTGTTTTTTTGGGGATTGCTTATACAATTAGGTCAACACTTCCCTTTCCATATATCGGTTGCACTCTGGCTACTGGTCCTCAACTATGAGGATACAGAAAAAATATAACCTTACCTATAAAGTTATAACTTGTGTTTGCAAGTGAAAGATAAAAATTAAAAATGTTAAAGAACCTTACATTTTCTTATATAACACGATATCCGACTGCGATGTTAAAGATCGTACTTTTCGGACTCCTCGGTCAACTAGTCGGTCGATTAGTTGAGTTGCCAGATTATCGTCATCTGATATAACTAAATGAGACATTTCCGGTGATACCTGAAGGCTGTAATTATTATTCAAATTTAAATCTTCTTGAGATGCCTTTTCTCCCTAACCAAAATCGAAGTGTGACTATTTAATCACACTATACATTTAATAATCTGTTCAATAAGTGCTTAAATAGTAATAATTAAAGTCCTAAACGACTGGACCGATTTTGATGAAATTTGTGTGTGTTAAAGTGAATACAAGAATGGTTTGGATTTACAATTTGATGTTTTTTTTGTTTGAAAAAATATAACCATAATAAAATAGTACACATACACAGACACACATACACATACTCCATGTGGTATATTAATTATTTTGCTAATGTTGCAACCTCTTATGCATGTATAATAAAAATTGTTTACGTAGTGTTAATTTATGCTTAAATTTACACTACGTTTTAAGACCATCTGGTGATCCAAAGTGGTGGGGGCTTGACTTAACTCAGGTACTCTATGCATCAGTGTCACCCAAACAATCATTTCCTTCTTTTATAAATAACTGTTGCTTTATTTTGTGCAATATGTAAGTTTTTGTGAGAAATAAAGATAGGTTATGAGTACATATACATTTACTTAAAAGTAATCAACGGTATAGAGAAATAAAAGAAAGAATATATGAAAATAAAAGAAAGAATATATGAAAATAAATTTTAATGAATAAAATACACCCACATCAAATAAATAAGTAAATGAAAAGACTTAAGAATCAACATTCTCAACGGCAGCCGTCATAAATGTATCTGCATTGAGCAAGTAAGTTTCACATAGATTGCGTTTATCAAATGCTTCTATCAGATCCTCTTCCAGGTGCTTATTAATAATTGCAGCACAGCGTAAGTCCTGCGCTGCGTAGCACAATGGAGCCTTCAGTTGATACTTAATTATAGGTTGTTGCGAATATTGTTGCAAGGAATCATTCTTTAACTCTTCGTCAAAGTTAGCTCTCATCAATATAAGCAGAGAACGTAACTTCTGAGGTTTAGCGGCATATTTCTTCACTTGCATGATCCTCGAGTATGCAGCTTCTATCAATTCCTTTGTATATTGAGTGGAATAACTGACTCTTCCAATAAGATCCCGTACACAGTACGTAACCCTTTCTTCCCAGGTCGTTGCTTTATTTAATTTTTCATCTAAGGAGTTGGTGTTTTCACCAGACATAAGTTTGACCATGTGTTTGCCTACGGATTCTTGTAACGTGACGTCATCTTTTATTTCCGTTAGCTTCGAATCGAACTGCGCTACGATTTCGTTTGGTGTTCCGCCCAGGCAATATACTACACCAGTAAGACCTGAGAATAACGAAATGTAAATATTTATTTAAGTAGTGATATTCGTGATTGCGCAGAGATACTAATGATCTAAATGATTTGTGTGAATGAGCAAAGGGTCTTCGTCGCGTTGTCGTATTTCAATGTGTTTAAATTAAAGTTTCTTGCTAAATCTTGTTGACTGATCTTAAAAGTGATACATGAAAGAGTTTTCATTTCCCTTGATAATGACTTATTAGACAATAAATTTTCCTAGCAAACTTTGATTTTTCTATGAATATATAAAATTAATCAGTGGCGCTACAACCTTTTTAGGTCTGGGCCTCAGGTTTCTGTATTTGTTTCATGATCATTTGTCAATGTAATAGGTAAGTTGGTGATCAGCCTCCTGTGCCTGACACATCGACTGTTGGGTCTAAGGCAAGCCGGTTTTCTCACGATGTTTTTCTTTACCATTCAAGCGAATGTTAAATTCGCACATAGAAAGAATATCCATTGGTGCACAGCCGGGAATCGAACCTACGACCTTAGGGATGATAGTCGCATGCTGAAGCCACTAGGCCAACACTGCTCCTTTTTGTATGACTCTAAGGGTTTTTAATTGTCTTACCATTATCTTCCAAGATGGCAGCCATTTCTAAGGCAATGATAACACCGGTTTCGTATCCCATCAAGTAGAAATGTTTCTTTAGTTCTGTTCGACTCAAAAGACACTGAAAATTAAGTATAAGATGATTGTCATACACATCTGGCCCATCCACATATTAGCCGTTAACTGTGTATATGTGAATATTTACAAATTACAAAACGAAAACTATTTTTTAAATATATTTTTTTCACGATATTTATTGAATTGCTATCATTTGTTCTTAAATTAATTGACTTTTTTGTTTCCGGATACAACCTACCTTAGCAAACCGCTTTGCGATATCCTGTAAAGACTCGTCTTTTCCCAAACCAGGTTGTAAGACAAGAGCTGGGAGCTTCAGCCTCTCACACAGTTCCGTAAATCTCAGATGATGACCTTCCACGCCTGGTACAATGCAGAGGAAGGCCTGATCCGGGTCGAACTCGTCATCTCGCTAAACAAACAATGCAATTTCAGAACTCCAGAACTCAAATCTAGTTTCAAGAAATATCAAACTATGTATTATTTAATACAGCACTGAATACGGATTTTAGTATTTATTTATTTATAAGTTCTAAAACATCGTGTGTAAAATTATACAAGAAAACATGACAACATAAATTTTGATACTGTACATCAATTATATTAGATTATAGGCAAGCTAGCAAGGGAAAAAATTGAACAAGCAACATCAAGGTTAAAAATAAAAACTAAGGAAATTCTTCTCAAGAGCTCAGTTACACATAAATCATCAAACTATCGCTATCTATAAAAAAAACAGTGGCGCTACAACCTTACAACCTTTTTATCTAATAGGATACAACCTGTATTATTATGGTTGGTACCTGGTATTATTATGGTTGGTAAGGCAGAAGGATCATAAACTTACTTTAATTAATTCAAATAATTAAATTCATTTTATTATTATAATAATGAAATCTTATTGTATACATACAAACATTGAATAGATATTTTAGGGTAAACAAAAATTAATGCGTACCATACTGGAACTGCTAGTGAGAGTTGGTAAGAACGTCATCTCAGTTGTAGCCAACAACTCGTCAGAATCCACGTAAGAGAAGAAAGAAGAAAGACCCGGCTCGTCTGTATATTGTAATTCCAGTAGTTTTTCTTCCGTCTCTCGTATCCTTAAAAAAAATTACAATCTTTAAAAGCCGTAAGTACTCTCTTAATGTCCTTTTATGATTGACATACTGTGAGATATTTCACAAGACTTTAAAAACGATTTCATATTATTTGTGTCTATAAAACCTACTCAAATGTTAAGTATATTTATATACCTTTCTATGGTGATATTGGGTATTTCTTCTTCAAGGAACCACAGATTATAGTGGTCGCGTAGACAAAATTGTACTGCTTTAGTCTTTGATTCGTGCATGCCCAAATCTAAAAGTGTAGAATCGCTGTCTACGTTCTGTGGCAGCTTTATATCTAAAAAAATATTATAAATAAGTAATAAAATAGCTAAATAAAAATGCTACATAATATTTATTCATAAATTAACAAATTTTGTTGGAAATTGGTCATGGCAACATTTAATAAAACGAATTAAAAATCTTGATAAATTTCGTTTCGTATTTATTTTTCTTATAAACCAAGTATTTATGGCATTAAAATAAAATGTTATATTTATAATATTGAGTTGCCATGGAATCGGCTTAATGGTACCATCTGCTCATTGCGTTTTTTATACATTTAACCACAAACCTGCCCACTTAGCGATGTCCTCCAACAAATTCACTTTGGTGGAAACGCGATGCGCCATTATTACTGCTTCTTGTGATAATAGAGCTTTTTCAATTATATCTATTGCACTTCTCATTGACATTTTGCAATCATTTTCTATGTCCCTCTGTAATCATTTTATTATTTAACCTTTATTCCATTTCCATACCATATAATGAACAGATTTTTACTACAATATATATTAAATGAATATGTTCAGTATTTGTTGGGTCTTTACTTAAGGGAGGTTTACACCACCCTGGGTATAAGCATCCTTAAACAATATGTTATTTAAATAGCATATCTGGGGTAGTGTCAATCGATTTGAAGCTAATCGGTCCCAATAGTTTTAAACATGATAGTGTTTTTTAGATAAAAAATATGAAATAATAGGGTATATTTATAGATTTTATATAAAATCCAAATTAGTAATTGTACTATGACGTAAATACGTGCGCGATATTATATCTTAAATGCCGTCTTACTAAAAACATATAGTTATACTAGTAGACTCGGCCAAGCGTTGCTCTGGCTAAGATTTTTGTTATATTACATAGTAGTAAACTATTCAAGGGAAACGGTAGGAGAACTTATGTGAAAGGTAGATGACAGCTTATGTGAAATCTTGATAATTTTAACACAGCGCCATCTGTTAGAATTGTATCAAATAATAAACAAATATTTTGCAATAAATTAAAATTGCGACTATAATT